GCGTTCTTTTTTTCTTTTCCCGTTATTACTGTGCGTCCATCTTTGTTCAACTCATAGATATTTTGGGGTTTCGGTTCTGCTGCTCAAAAAGCGTCTTTTTTTTCTTCGCCACTCTTATTTCGACTTTTCTAAGCCAGCTGACCTTTCGAGCACGCAAGCACACAAAGTTGGCGTATCAAAAAAAATAAATAAAATCACCAAGCAGCGAAAAGCCACCGATGTATGTTCTAGTGGCGGGTGCGGCGCGGGGGGACTTTCAAACAGGCGAGGATTGAAGATCTTCGCGACGGGCCGCGTATAGTCTCGTACATCTCGTCCTCTCACGGACTAGGGGCTTATACGAGCTGCGGCCGATCCCTCCAAGCTTGACATTCCCGGACAAGCGCCTTGTCCTCTCCGGAAGCTCTAGCATGCCTCCCTCCTCCTCGCGAGGAGCTTTACTCCCGTTTCCGCCAAATGTGCCGCAGCGTCCACTCGAGGGGTCGGTGCGAGCACGCGGCTGTGAGCGGAAGGTCAGGCAACGGGGACTGCCAGAAACCCTAGACGGCGCTGAAAAACGGCGGAACTGTGGAGGGAGGGGCGGCAGTGCGACGTGTCCGGGCTGTTTCTCCGTGCACGGGCTCATTCTTTCTCGCCTCTGCGCCCCCGCGTGCCTGCTTGTCGTCCACGCCTTGTTGCCTCCCGCCGCGAAGGTGTCAGCCCGGGTGTGCGGCCTGCGGTGCGTCCCCCGTCACGAGGGTGCAGCTTTGGCTCGCCGCTTTGAGGCCACTGAGCTGACCAGCAGGTGCACGTGCGCCTGCAGCCACGCTATACGAGTGAAGACAGGCGTATAGGAAACAAATGAGAAATTAACTTTTGCCCCGCGCGGCCATTTTTGAAAGCTGTGTCGATTGAGATAGAAACTAAAGCGCAAAACAAGCGATGACAGGCACACCGGAGGCACATGGTAAACGCCGTAGCTCTTCTAATAACACGAAGCTTGAGATATGCAGTAGCGTACAGAACGTGTGTACCTAGTGATCTGTGAGGAACACTTTTTTATTGAGTCAAATTAACCATGTTAGAGCACGTCGGAAGAATAAATTTGTTCCATTTATTACCTCTCGTAACAGTAGTGGTCCAGGCTACTGCATGTGAGTATCGTACCAGAGAGTGTCGAAAGTGCATCGTGCGCACAATGCAAAAGAAATAGTTATCAGCGGGATAAGCGAGGAGCTCTGTTCACACGTTCTTTTAGAGTGACCAATATACAATATAAACATATATGTTGTTCACAGCCATCCGCGGATACTTTACGTGTGTGCTTCTGTTCGTGGCACTCTTCTGTGCTTACCTGGCTATGAAGGAAGAATTCTACGCGGGAATTCGCTTGATCTTGTGGCAGTCGAGTACCTATATTTACGGCAAAGGATACCCGCACTTTGTGAAAGTCTAGGATTAAAAAATTGTTCAATCGCTTTAGTACCTGAATGCATGGTGCAGTATGCCTGCTTACCACTCTCGACATAGGACCTCCTCACGCTACGCTTAACGTTGATGCTTGTTTGAACCGCGCTTTGAAAGGCGACGCTGCCGGCGCATGTTTCTGCTAGCATCACCCTCCTTCTCTTCTTCTGCTGAAGTACCTAGTACCAGTACTGAATCGGAAAGTGTGTCTATCTTAACAGCTGCCTCGCAACTGTTCTCACCATACGGCACATGTGAAAAAAAAAAAAATACCGAAGAACCATGGCCGATGACCGGGCTCCGTTTTATCTACTCGTGACGACGCGCGCCTTCCAGACGCGAGCGCCTCGAAGAGAATGCCAAGTTCTCGAAGAGAACACCAGAAGCAACCGCAGCCTCTGAGACGACGCGCGCTCATCGGGCGGCCCAGCTGCAACGCTCTTCCCCGCCTCCATCCGAGCCCAGTGTCGGTCCCGCCGCGCGAATGCTTTCCGTTTTGAGCACCGTCAAACCGTCCTTCGCAGTGTGAAGTGCGCCTCGTTAGGAGCCGTCCGACAATGCGCCGAACAAGCGGCCGCTTTGTCCTCACGTCTGCGCAGATACGTCATCATTGGCCCGGACGAAAGCGCGCTGCCGGCCGTCAGGCGGCCCTTCCGCGGCTGTAAAGCGACACCCCTGGCAGAATGGCCGAACCCCCCTTACACCATGATGGGTTTATTGGGACACTCGCCCTGGACCAGGCCGGCCAAGGTTGTCGGCCTCTCTCTTGACGGGTGACCGGGACCGTCTCTGTCGGCACGCCGAGCGCGTGGCTTCCTCCCATTTAATGCCGCCTCTTTGTGCCGAGCAAGCACGCGCAGGCGTCTCTGTTAGCGCCTCCGATATCAAATGTTTTTTGCTAGAAAAAGAAATTTATGGCCCTCGCGGCGTCCGTAAATCTTCGGGGTGCCTCCGTCCTTGTTGTGGAAGTTCTAACGTTTTCTCTAAAACGTTTTGGTTGCTTCGGGCTTGGAAGCACGCGTTCCCTATTAGCTGTTTCTGTTCAAGGGTTTGACTCGGAAACATTCGAGCCCAGAAAAGCAACACGTGCCCGCAGTATTGCCAGAACGTGTTCTTCGCTCTACTTGGAAGCATGGCTGCTGTTGAGCTCTTTCTGCGAGCGAGGCATTGAACTCTTACGCACGCGTGCAGCAATGATTTACGCAGTTCCGCATGCTCGAGGGCAGACACTCAAATGGCTAAATAATCTATATGTCAATCAGATGATAAGGTGACGCACTGTTGTGGGTGTAGGCGTATGTAGGCTCCCGCATTAGAGAGAGGTGGTGTAGGCGTCATAGCTTGACTGCGCTCCCCCCCCCCCCCCCCAGTCAATGCCTTTCTTACGCGTGATAAGAGCAACCCAAAAACAGAAGCTCACTTGCGCAAACATCATTTCCAGAGTGTTGTGGCTCGAACTAGTTGGTTTTTCGTGAACTTAACTTGTATTAGCGCGGCACGTATGACAATGAAAAAGCGAAAGATGAAAGTTTACCGCTTGCCTTTCTTGACGTCTTTCCCTTTTTCCTTTTCATGTGTGCCGCGCTAATACAAGCTAAGACCATTTCCAGAGAAACGTGGATTTCAACTTCCATGTTTTACTGCTATACAGCCAAGCTCTTTTCCTAATCTTGTATCTCGCGCATTTCTGCCTAAAATCGAATGTAATATATTTGATGTGTTACTTGCAAAATAACAAAGGTTACAAAACCAAACAAACCTGCGTGAACGCCTATCTATGGCTGCGGCTTGTCCGATATATTTCGTACCATTGCTGCTTTACGTGAACACTTCCTCGATTGCCTTCACACAGTTCGGGGTAGTTTCTCGGCCAAACACAAATATTCCAGTGCATAAAATTACGGCCACTCTCATGGCGCATCACTAAACATTCATGCGTGGTAAAAATTAGCACATGTGTGTGCCCTAGCTTTTGTTTTTTTTTCTTCCCCAATGCGATAACAGTATGGCCATGCTGCAACCCTTTCGCAAGAGTACCTGTCTGACCAAAAAGACGGATGCCTACTACCCAACACAATGTTTTAAAACGGTAGCTGGTATATAATATATTGTTATCAGGGGCTTTACGTACCGAAACCATGGTACGATTGTGAGGGCCGGGCGCACCGAGGCTGAGGGCTCAAGAAATTTTGACGTCTGGTGTTCCCTAACGTACAATGACATCGCACAGTACCCAGTCGTCCAGCATTTCACCTACATTCATATGCGAGCAGCACAGCTTTGACCAAACCCGTGGCCTTCAAGCCAGCAGCCTATTATTGTAACCACTAAACGTTACGGCGGTAGGAATGCGAGAAACTGACGCCGAAGGCACAGGCCAGATGTTTCAAAGATTAACTTAGGAACGAGCGAAAGGTGCGTGTGATCCTGGCCTAATTTATTAATTTATAAGTGGGATTTAACGCCTCAATACTACCATATTATTTTGAGAGACGCCGTAGTGGAAGGCTCCGGAAATTTCGATCACCTGGGATTCTTTAACGCGCACCCAAATCTGAGCACGATCAATCGATCTTTTCGAAGCGCTCCTCAGATTACTGCGTGAGAGTGACAACGTCCTCGTGAAAGCTGCCTATGTCTCAACCACACACGTGTGACGTAACCTCTGACTTTAAGAGCAGCCGGGAAGAAGTGGAGGATGTCGCACAGATTTCCTTCAAATTTCATCTGTTTCTGCCTTCTAAGTCTTTGCTCGCGCAGGGCGTTGGTGGCATGTGGCGTTAGCCTCACAGGATGATGCGGTTTACTGCTCTGGGCACTCAATGGGACGTTCATGCTTTCGCATTCACCGCTCATCAGTAATCAGATGTCGCCAGATTTTACCTGCAGTGACATGTGTATATCATTTGGTCACCACACGGCCTACACATATCAGTTGCATCTTATTTAGCTAACCGGCTTGTTGGGGTTGATAATACTGTACAACAGCGTTGTGATTTGTCCTGGATGTCTGGAATAATGGCGAAATAATACATTAGAAATAGATTTGATATCCAGTCATAAGGTTACTCAGTCGTTGTTTTATCGGGCACCTGTGCATTATATACAGCAGTGCAGAAGCAGTGGTGCGTCTCTTCTTGCTTAGAATGTTGCTGTTCTTTTTCTGTTTACCCGGTGACAAATCTGACGATGACAAATCTAACGATGGCATGCCAAAATGGAGCACTGACATAGTAGCAAAACGGTCTGATAAAGGATCACAGTTTCTTATGGCGCCGATTCAGTTTATTCATAAGATAGTTATTATCAGTTGAAAAGTGCTGACATATTTCCTTGGTCTCGGATTTACATCAGTCTAAGATTTCTGACATGCGTCGAACAGATGATGGTTACTTCCTAGTCTTGCAATGTGATAAAGGGGCACAGGTTCCCACGCCATTTTATTCGCGGTGACATCCCACTGTACAGCAGAAGAAAGGAAGAAACCACTACGAAAACAACTGCTAGCTGCTTTGCCAAGGCTTTCACATACGTTTTGAGAGCAGGACAAAATTATGTCCAATGACCAGTACAAGAATTCCGGCGAGGAAACAAACCTGGCTTCTGTGCAATCAGGTAAGCACAATTGCACTGCTAGTCGTTCCATACTAACACATGAATAAGGTGAATGCCACATAGCACTGATGTAACTCTAATTATATTTCAGTGTCCGGAAAAGACGAGAGCTGCCCCGTGCCCTCGTCTTTCCCCTCTGGCACCAGGTCTTCAGTGTCATCTGAAGTCCACGACGAGCCTCAATTCATGAACGCGAGTCTGAAGTGCAGTGACGGCGTCATGGCACAGTCCCCAGATGACAGAGCCCCGTCGTTGCAAATCCCTGCACTGCGAAGTGAATCCGCGGATAACGTCTCGCAAGGTACGCCCACCGGTAGCTCCAGCGAGAATGGAAACAACGGACCAGTGTGCCGGATCTGCCATGGAGGAGACCAAGAAGAAGCGCTCGCGTCCCTTTGCAGATGCGCTGGAACCATCGGCTTCGTCCACGTGTCTTGCCTCGAACTGTGGCTTAACGCACAGAAAGTGGACTACTGCGAACTCTGCGGTCAGCGTTTCCCGATGGAGGCCCAACCTTGCAATGTGCTTAGATTTTTCCACTGGATTTCCCAAAGCAACTGGCAAGTAAAGCGAATGGTGCTGGGCCACTTGCTTTTCTTAATCATGTTGATAACGCTCTCGGCCGTATTCTTACTCGTTGTCTACATGATATTGGGGATGGAAGATCCCGAGCCGCACTCTCCTTTTGAAAGGGCTTTGGAGGGCTTCGTCTTCGGTACGATAGCCGCCATTTTAAGAGGATTGTACAAACTTGAATTCGATATGCTGGGCTATACGTACGCTCATTTCGTTGCGTGGAAGTTGGAGAATCCGGTGCTCCGGATCGCACGACTGCATGCTGATAGAGCTGTGGATCTTGCGAAAACAAAGTGACACGACGTCAGGAAAGCGGAAGAGCCAGGGACATCTGGTTGGCGTCGCCACCGCTGGCATCAAGTTGGAGCCAATGACGTGACATCATCTTGGCGGCGGGTATTACCAGCCGTTTTTTTTCCTCGGGAAAAAATATTTCTACGAATACCGGCCTTCCTATAGGGCCATGACCTGCTGCGGACATACGTGTTTCGTGCTTTTGCAGACATCGTGTAGTGGTAGCGTTTAATGCATCATTGTTGCTAATGGTTCTTGGTCATTTTAATGTTTGCTTTTATGTCATGCTCTCTGCTATGCAGTTTTTTTTTCATATTCATGTGCTAGACACTCATGAAATGTTCGGCAGTTTTAGCATTTGACTATTCCCCCGCACTCGGAATAAAATCCTGGTTTTATGTATATTCGAATGTGTGCATTGTTAATACCCGGCTTTTTCTATTAATTAATTTTAATCTAATGAAACCAACATATACATCATGTGTTAGTTTCATAAAGGGTTTTTACATGAAAAGCAAGCCGTCGACCGGTTCCTCCCCTTTCGTTTATTTATAGCGAGGGAATCGTTACAGCAGACGTGATGCCTTCATACGAGGGTTTATTGTTCCGATTCCAGCTTGTAATAAGCCGATGAGCTATGTGACACCTGCTGGCAAGAAAAAAACGTGGTCTATATTCGCAGTCATGGCTGCGAGCGACGCTGGCTAACATTGGCAGGATTACGCAAACTTAAATAAAAACCGATCGCCGTAGCATTTCAATTGGTAAAGCATCGGACGCGTTACCCGAAGGGTGCAGGTTCTATCTCTACATGCGGCACCCAGGTGCAGCCAGAATTAAGGGGGGGGGGGGGGGGGGGGGGGGGGGGGGGGGGGGGGGGGGGGGGATAGGATGCTGAGATACCTTATGTATGTTCAGGCGTGTGGGTATGTATACGCAAGGAAAAACTGAAAAACTTTGAAGGGCCTAAACCCCTTCCCCCCCCTCCCCCCTGGCTACGGCCCTGCTGCGGCAAGTCACCTACTTTCGTTCCTTTCGATTTACGTAGAAAACACTATACTACAGATAACATACAAGTGATGTTTTCGATATGTTCTTTAGCTTCCTTGTCAAATGGCCTCCTTACATGATCCCCAGTAGACTATTCAATCGGCAGTCTGTAGTTAACCTTCCTGCCTTCTCCTTTTCTGTTTGCTTCCTTTTTGGTCAACTGCTTCGTGTGGTCCTGTCTAACACAAAAAAAAGAGGCCTCGATCAATCCCAGTTCATTCATTTCGTTAATTTTCTAATTTGATCCGCTTCAGTCGCCAAATATGGTGAACTGTTGAAAAGTGAGTCACACTTACGACACTGTGTTCCAAGGCTCGTGGTATTATATTGCATGCACGTAAGTTAAAATGGTGATCTGTGAATTTTTCAGTTTTTTATGCTAATAATGCTCATTATTCTGTATATAAACATATCTTTTCGTTCTGCAGCCAGTAGTATTCTGCCTCATAAAAATACACTTTTAGTCGCGAAATTCATGGGCAAGTTGTTGTCGGTTACAACACTCCCGAGAATACAAGAATTATTATTTTGGCGAGGCTTCCAAATACTTGGCACGTTGATTGATCAGTACAGAATGGTAGTTTCATCAGCAAAGTCGTCACCTGCATGTCACAAACGCCCCGCCGCGGTGGTCTAGTGGCTAAGGTACTCGGCTGCTGACCCGCAGGTCGCGGGTTCGATTCCCGGCTGCGGCGGCTGCATTTCCGATGGAGGCGGAAATGTTGTAGGCCCGTGTGCTCAGATTTGGGTGCACGTTAAAGAACCCCAGGTGGTCGAAATTTCCGGAGCCCTCCACTACGGCGTCTCTCATAATCATATGGTGGTTTTGGGACGTTAAACCCCACAAATCAATCAATCATGTCACAAACTTCTGATGACGGCCCGCCGATCTTTCACTTTACGCTTAAACCTGCGACGCCTGAAAGGCCTCGAAGTGGTACATCCCAAACTTATTTGCAGGTCGAACGACCCGTGTGGGGTTGCACGTGTGGTGATGTATGAGCCTGACCGGCGCACTCATAGAGCAGACACAGACATTTGGTTAAACAAAAAGAAGCACTTAATTAAAACAAGGGCAATAGGCAGGAGATTACAAAAGTAACAAATATGAACACTAATACGCGATGAAATAAGAACAGCTACAAAACAAACTATGCTCTGAAAGAACACTGAAACAGGTACAGACAAAGGACAAATACGCGGAATGTTGATAAAATAACATGATGCAACTAAAGGAGATACAAAGAAATAAATTACGAAGCAAAACCATCTCGCGCTTCTGAGAGTCTACGTGCGTTGCAGTGCACACAACTACAATTATTGAAAAGCTGGTTATATTACAATAACAGTTGAAAAAAAGTCACAATAAAAAGTTCCATACGGACCAGGCCAGCTCTTGCTTGATACACGTAGGGGAGTTGACGGGCGCCGGTGAAGATCTTGCCGGCTTAGTAGACGACGAGGGTGCCCGGAATTACAGCCGTCTCAATACTTTGCGCGGGTCACTCCATACTCGCCGCTATGCGCGAGCCTTGCGACACCGACGACCATGCTTTTCGCTCGTTGCATGTCAACTGCCGATTTCAAAGCAGTCAAAACTCTTTCGGGACGTCCCATCCCCTCTCGGGGTCATTTCTTTTTCCTCGAACACATGTGTGTTCCTTTCTGTACAGGGAAGCCCCAGCGGCGCCGCCGCTGGGTCGTTAGTCGCCGGATGTCGTCTTCCCAACACAAAAGCGCCCTTCCTTGGACGATTGGGCACGCGGGCGAAACGAAAATTGCATTCGTCTCTGACACTGCAACAATACGTCACATAATGAAGTTAAATTAGCCATAGTTGACTAAAGAATGTACTATGTATGTCATGCTAAGCTATGCTATGCACGTCGTGCTATGTATGCTAAAAAAAGCCTAAAAGGAGGACTTTTTCGCTTTGTCTCACTAAAGCGAGAAGATGTCAATTCCAGTACATTTACTTCAGACAAAAGAGCTCGCTAAACTACGGTGATCTTTAGAAACGTCGCAGCAACGCTAAAAAATATCCCCCCCCCCTCCAGTGCATTGCCCGCTGATTGAAAGGCTACATTTGTACTTTTAGCATGCCGACAGCTATCCGCAATTGTTTGGCACAACCCCATCCCGTCGCTATGAATCTGGCCGTTCGACGTAATGCTTATTCTGATGTTAGCATTCGAGACGAATCAACGCCATGTATGTCACGAACTGAAGACGGTAGGAAAAGAAACACGTGTATTACTTGGCGCTTAAATTGTCATTCCTATCTACTAACACCTCATTTATTTCAACGTTACAGAGATCAAGAGATCATTTCGCAGAAATATTGCTGCTGCCACTGGCGTCGTTAGTTGTAAGCGAAAAATCAGCGCTTTCTTTGAGCGAAACCTCAAGACAGATGAAAATAACTAAAATACTAATAAAAAATGCTTGGTGCGAGTGTGATATAAGCCCAGTTCCGCGTTACAAACAGGCGCTACCACAGTGCGACGCCTTTGCTCGAAACTGCTTTCGAAAAAAAAAAAGAAAGAGAACAAAAACACTACATGAATGTCGCGTAATGCGAGACTCTTCTTAAAGAGTAAGTAATGTCGCTTAGCAGAAGCGTAATATCACGCCAGCATCAATAATTGTCAATGGCATAATGAGAAAGGGGTTTAAAGGTAGATTTTTTTACAAAGCTCTCAGGCATATTTAACCATCACCAGCAGCAAAAACAACAAAGTGAGCAGCTGCGTAGGTTTGTGTTTCTTTACAGACGCATAGTGGTCCAGGCGTGGTTTGCCAAAGCAAACGCCTCCTTTATTTTAAAAAGGAACATAGTAGAAAACGAGCGCCCAAACGCGCGCTTATCAACGGGAGGAGCCGCTGGTCTGCCTTAGTTCAGGGAATGGTCGTGAGGTGACGCTGCATGAGGGGTCGTGCTGGCGTCGTTAGTTGTAAGCGAAAAATCCCGCTGATTGAAATATGTCAGTTCAGGCTGTCAAGGTGGATGGACGTGTTTTTTGAGCGCTCCGGATCGACTGTGCAGATAAGTGTTTTTGCATGTTTTGAGCTTGTCTCTATAATTATAAGGCAGCGGTTGAAATCTTCGTAGCACTTATTTTATGGTACGGCTTTTTCGGGGGCCAGTCACCAGGTATTTATTAGTTAGTGCGGGTGTGTGTGTTTGAATTTTTTTGTTGTTGTTTTTTTTTCTTTTGCCACCCCGTTGGGGAGGTGCGCGTACATTGAACACGCAAATTTTTGTAGTAGAGCTTGGACTTTCTTTTTTTTTCGTAGTGCAGGGCTCGAGTTTAGTAATTATCGAGTATAGGGACAATTAGTGTCAGAAAGGCATGGTTAAAAAGACTGTAAAGTGTTCAGGATGTGGAGTGGGTTTGAAAGTGGACCCAAGCGTAGAAGCGGATGGAGAAGAGGCTGACGCGAAGTGTAGGCAATGTGAGGTCGAGGAAAAAATGGAGAAAATGATGGTTGCCCAGAGTGAACTGCTGATGAGAATCGCCAAACTCGAGACTGCGTTGGCGACAGAGCAAGAAAAAACGAGGGCAATGGGAGAAAGACTGAAGTCCGCCGAGGAAGTGCTAGCGAAGCTGAACAAAGAAGCGACCTACCGAGAGAACAGTAGGGAACCGGCAACCAGAACGGTGGAGAAGGAAAAGCAAGCAAGCTTGGAAAAAACAGGTTTAGCCGGTTCAACTGTCGCAAGGCCCAGCTTCTGCGAGCTAGTGGTGGGGCAGGAAGAGAACAAAAGAGCCGGCGTCACAGGTGCAAGTAGCCCCCAGGTGCAGAACGCTCCAGCGGAAAAGTCACAGCATGTGATAATCGCCGGGGACTCAAATTTAAATCGATGCACAGAAGCCATCAAAGAGAGGGTAAGAGGTGACAAGAGGGTTGCAGTAGGGGCGTTCCCAGGACGTAAGCTGGAAGCAGTCATG